CCCCCCCCCCCCCCCCCCATGCTGTGAGCTGTCATTCTCAGCCCCGAATGATGTTACTGCAAAATGCTTTGTCTATTAGCATTACCTGAATCGTATAAAACATACAAACTCACTTTAGATTTAATTCAAGCAAATATGCATCAAACCCAGGAGTTTTATTTATTTATTTTTATTTATTTATACAGCCACATGTGCAGTGGTGGACAATGTTCAGTTTCATTACTTGAGTCAAAGTATTGATCCTACTGGTTGAATATTACTCCAATAAGAGTAAAATAAGCTCTCTCAAATAATTACTTAAGTTAAAGTACAGGAGTATGCACTTTCAAAAATATTTAAATACTGAAAGTACTTGAAATGTTTCAGTTTTTTAACAGTGTATTTTACTTGGGTGTAGTCAAGAAAAATTGGGAATATTTTCTGTGTTATTGGAGAGACTGGTAACTCCAAATACTACTACCGGTACTACTACTAACAACAACAACAACAACAACAACAACAACAATAAATGACTTTTTCTAGACATTTGGACTCTTTACAATTTCATTCATCATTTATTTACTCCTCAGTCACACTCTGTGGTGGAAGTGCAGCTGCCGTTCAGCACCTTTGACTGCCACAGTCACAGCAACATATTTATTAGGTGTCTTGCTCTGCGACACAACGGCAGTATCCCCTCAGGCAGGGATTCAAACTGGTGACACTCTGGTTACAAGGTGAATGCCTAACCCCTGTGCCACTGAAATGTAAAATATACCCCTTTTACAAGAACCGTCAAGCTCATTCAGTTTTTGATAGAGCCGATTAGATTCAAATGTAAACCAGTAGAGCTGTCAGGGGAAAATTACTGTCGCATGCTTTTTCCATGTTTAACAGTGATTTTTGTAGGCCATGATTAAGTTTGTCAGCACAAATTGTTTATTTCAACCACCTCGAACACAGGTTTAAGATGAGGCCACKGATGCTCTGGTAGAATGTTGTGTACAGGCGTAGCCGTCATTACCACCTCCCAAATCTGATGATTCATTTGTTTTCTTCTCCTCACAGCTGGTTTGAAGCTGTGCAGGTAATTTTGTATCTGATTAACTGAAACCACATACAATCTTATATTTTACACTTTGTGATCAATTATGGCCATTTACTTTAAACAAAGAGAATCAGTATGTTTCTATGTAGCATAATCAAAGTTTTGTTGACATTCCAAGGTACCGCATAAAAACGACCGCCCTCGCCCCACAGGATGTGACCAGGGTGTTCAATTTATGTTTGGGTTTTATCAATCACGCAGGAGGTTTTTTTTTTTTTTATTCTTGAGAGGGAGACTTTAATGTGAGCTGCAGTTAAGAGGGCCTTGTTTTTATTCTGATAAAACTCAGGGCCAAACAGACAGACACTGGGAGACGGAGGCTCTGAAAAATGAAATGGAGTTACAGATATGAAGAATATATA